TTCTGAGTGGCTCCCCAGTGTACGCGTCTGGGAAGAAGCCCAAGAAGGTCCAATTCGTAATCCTTGAGAGTTTGGCTTGCGCATGGATTGTGTAAGAGCTTCTCAAAATGGTGGACACCCTTTTGGTGGGTATTTGGAGAAATACCAAAGGAAGTCATCCACTTTATGGGGACCCTATTTTGAGAAGCCCTTTGTGTGAGGCACTGGTGGCTTGATCTGCGCTGCTCTTGTCTCAACATTGGTCTCTCGCTCTCTCTCTCCCTCTCTCTCTCTCTCTCTCTCTCTCTCTCGTTTTGAGGGCAAAGGGAAACCACCGACCTTGGGGGCGGTCCCTATTTTGGACATTCCCAAGGTACCCATGAGCAGGATGAAGAGAAAGCCTCTATTTTCATGGGGAGCCCCGCCCCTCACCATGCAGCGAAATCCACTTTCTTTGTTTCAGGCAAGAACATCATGTTGCAGCCAACCCGGAAAGTTGTTCCTCTTCATGGCCAAAGCGTCTGTACCGACTCAAAAGTGAAGGTGGCTCAGCCAGGGCCTTTTGCACAAGAGCCAATTCCTCCCAACTTGATTGAAACGCAATCTCGCAAAAAGCATGGCAAATCTTGCAACACATGGTCGCCACGCGAGCCTCCGATCTAGCTTCGGGTTTGGAGTTTAAGTGCGCAAGCTGCACGCCCTGGGAGTCACTCCGCGCCGCCATTCAATGGTCATACTGTCCGCAAATAGGATATGGAACTCTCAGAATTCGCCCAGCTTCCCTTGGGCTTCTATTCAAACTGAAGAAAGAAACATCAAATCCAGAACCTTCATCTTGCACCGCTTCATCCCGGGTGAGCTCGGTAGAACGACACGAGGAGATGGCTGCGGGTCAAAATCAGGGCGGTCAGTTCCAGACTGGGGCATGTAAAGAGGCGAAACGTTGTTTTCCTAGTAAATCACGGCAATCTCCAGCATCGCTTTTTACACTCCCAGCATCGTTTTCAACACCCCCCCCCCCGTATTATTGGACTCTTTGGTTTGGGTTGGCTTAGGGTTGGTACAGGGAAGGTCTATTGGTTGAGTGGGCGGTTTTCGGGCAGCTTAGGTGGAGTTGGGTTTAGGTTTGGTCTAAGGTTCAGGGCCTTTGAAACGGCTTAGTGCTGATTCAGGGGGGGTTGGGGGTTACGGTTTGGGTTTGGGTGAATAGCTCTTGCTTCGGATTGGTTTAGAGTTGGTTATTGAGGTGACGGCTTAGTGCTGGTTAGAGTGGGTTTAGAGGTGCTTTGGGGTTAGTTAAGGTTGGGTAAAGGGTTGATACAGGGTCTGCTTAGAGTTGGCTCGGTGCCGTTTTAGGGCGGTGGGCTTCGGGCTTGATCTATGGTGGGTTTAGGCTTGGCGACCGACCGACCGACCCGGGACCCTGCCAAGCCCCGGGAAACATCAAACTTTTGGCCCATGTACAGAGGAGCAACATAAAACCAGCCGCTTGTAGCTGACTCGTTGCGTGAACTTTCGCCTACTCATTCCTCGGATCCGGGACGACAGGCCTAGAGGAGCTCCGTTGTGGGCGCATTTTCAGGACCTGTTCAAAGGAAAATGATGCCCACCCAAAATGGTTCCATGATAGGGTACCTATGATAGGGGGTACCTTTGATGGGGTCCCCATGAATACGACCCATGATTGCAGAGGCTACCCCAACTTGAGAGCAAAAGCGGCCTCGATCCACTCCCGCGCTGGCCACGCGCTAAAAACCAAAGCCCCGTGGCCACGCGATGAAGGTACCGATCACACCGTAGTAGATGTTGTTCAGCGTGGAGCCCAGGTCGCTACCCACCGTGAACAGCACGTTGCACCTAAGGAGGTAAGATGCGATCAACTCCATCAAAGGTCCGGTTGAGGGTGGGAACCCCATGAAGTTACTTTCCAAATCAATGTGCTTGTCGAATTATTCCGAAACTGTGCCGGCAGTTTGGAAGTGCAGCAAAAAATATCCCTCAACATGTCCATGAAATCACGTGGATGTGTCCTACGTGGACTTCATGAAATGCTGAGCTTCCCGGAATGGGTTCTGTCTGAACGCCATGCACGCATTGCATACACCGCTTCTGTCGCATCCACTTCGGTCCCACTCCAGCCCGGGTCCGAAATGAGTGCAATGCTGCGCTCCCCTTGACATGGAAGCCAAGAACCATGCTTAAAGGAATCTCTTTTGTGGGACTGCCTTTTTGGGCGCCACGTTGATTTGGGGGAGTGACATTGGTATTCAAAAAACCACACTTTCTCATGAAGACCTTGGGGTGTCAAAACTTCGGGGCCTTCTAGAGGAAACCAGGTGAAGATCATGGAGACCTAAGCTTTTGCTTTCCTAAATACCAAGTCTCAATCTGAAGCCCACTAAGGCAAAGGAGCGGCTCTTTTGGCCCTTTCAGCTCGAACTCAAGAACCAAACCTTGAGACTCCCGAAGACAGTGGAAGAAAAATTGAAGAAAAACGCGCAAGCCTGTTGAGCTCAGCCCTAGCTATTGCCACGATCGATGTCTCTGGTCGCAACAACCAAGTTGCGCCGCGTGGGCGGATCAGCCTTCCACCTTCATGAGGCTTGTTAAGCCTTCGAGCATGGGGCAGGAATTCTATGCTACTTGGGCCCTGACACTCCTTCCACCAGTTTTTGGACGAGGCCCGCGCAGGATGCTGGAGGGCGGGAAGCCCTTCGCTGACAGCTCGTGACGGTTGACGACCACCGCGAAAGCGCTGAAAACGGTGGTCCAACCTCCGAAGCCAGAATGGAAATGTCATAAGCTCCCGGACCCGGGGTCTTTGTGGGGTGGTTTGTAGGGTGCCTGAGATGCCCTGAGATGGGCAGAATGGTCTTAACGCACAAACTATAGAGAGCACTAATTCGGGTTGCATGGCATTGAGCTGCATTGGTTTTTTCATTGAACTCCATTGCATGACATTGAGTTGATTCCAGCACACAGCAATGCTTACCATTTGATGTCAGGAATTTGCATTCTAATGTATGATGTTTCGCGACATCCATGCATGCGTCGCCCCTGGTATAATGACAAGGTTTGTCGAAATGGCGATACTCAAACTCATCGGTTCCTTTGATGCTGGCTGTCGAAATGTCATCCATAGGAATTCATGCTATGGGTTGACCCATACGGGAACTGAGAAAACTGTTTCAAAAACGCTCACGGTAGTCCGAAATGTTTGGTCAGCAGCATCAGCCAGCGATTCAAGCCGGGAACACTATCCAAAGGCTGTCCAGTTCAACATCACCACAGCCCCGGACAGTAATTCTGCAGGTATGTCAAAAAGAGCAATCTGCGCGGGTTTGCCTTTGGACACTTCCTGCAGCTCAAGTTGCCTTTGTACAAACCTGCTTCTAGCACTAGAGCCTATCAAGTGTTGCCCTATGACTCAAAACGAGTTGGAGCCAACCAGGTGTTTGGTGTTGTTTTGCCTCACTTTGGCGCATTTGACTCATGTGTCTGTTCTTAGGCTTTTTGGGGCATGTGTTGTAAAACGTGGAAGCGGACAGGACGCAAGGCTACACCGAAGTCCCATCCCGATGGTTTGAGGCTCCGAGGTCCCTGCACGCCACCTGCAAGGACGTCTTCTGAGCCACCACAAACCCATCCCTGGCCGCGGCTTTCTGCGAAACGCTCTACGACATATTTTCGCTCAGAAAAGGACAGATACTGTGGGCAGTTCACCCGGACCGAAACTCGCACATGTCATAAGCCGCGAGTCCCAAAAGAAACAAACCCTAAAAGGGAGGTAGGTGTGGCTGTTTGGGGGCTCAAACTCAATCAGGTTGCCTGTCTTCGGTTTTTCATGAGCGCGAATCACTCGATTTGCGGAGTCCTCCCTTGAATATCTCTTGTTGTCTGCCTGGTTGCACGATCCGGTTTCCGTCGGTTTCCCCCTTCCTACTTCACCTGAACCCGACTTGTAGAGCGCAGGTCGTGCCCGCACATATACAGAACAGTAGGGCGGGCTTTCTAGGCGCTAAGTGGCTTGCCGACCTACACAGTACAATTGCGATCATTAGGAAGTCAAGGCTCATGCTCAAGCAAAAGCAGAACCAAACAGACGCAAATATATTTCGTTAGCTATTTGCAGTAGCCATGCTGTGGTATTCTTCGAAAAGCATGCTCAGACTTGACGACTGCTAATTCTGCCAAAAGTTGATTTCATGAGTGGACACTCTGTGTTTGTGTGTGTGTGTGTGTCTTCGGCTGTGTAAAACGGATGACCTACCTCTCAGAAGAAGAACAGCATCGCATTTGCCACTCATGAGCATCTCTCTGTTCAAGTGCTTAATGCGCGCGGTCGAGGACACTTTGTAGTCGCGGATGATCTTAACTTCGCCCACAAAGTCAGATATGTTCTTGACGCGGTCAACTTTTAAGTGTAGCCTGGCTCTGCTTCAGTTGGGCATGACTTTTCATCCAATGGCAAACACAGGCATGCGCCGAGCCATACGCTTGGGTGTTGCTGTTGATTCTTCAACACTGATATCAAGTCCGCCGAGTTGCCACCCTTTCGCATGAACCCATTGCGTCGGACCTTGAGACCTTCGGGGGCTGATAAGTCCAGCCGCTGGACGACTGAGCTGTCGAGGTCGGGATAGCTGTCTTGAAGTCACCGGTGATGATGTTACACTGATACTTGCAAATCAGTGGAAGCAAGTCTTCATTCATTTCTGTCGCGGCCGTTTGTGGTTTTCCTGCTTGTATTTGCCATGTCACCATAATCTGCCACAACTGGATTCTCGAAGTATTTGTTGGGCTCAAACTCGACGGCGACGGTCTCATTGCGCTTGCCGTAATGCCGGATCTGGTGGTTGGGTTCTCTTGTACTGCCGAGTCTTCAACACTTCGGAACGCTCATTGAATTTGCGGCGCAAGTGGGGTCTCATGTTTCACGCGCTTGACAAAGGTTTTTTTTGTGGAGTTCCTTTATTGTGACTTTCTGGCTCACTTTGAGTTATCAGCCATGTTTCTCATCCTTCTTCCACTGAATACAAGGCCCAAAGAAAACGCAAACATGTTTGTCTTTTGTTCCAACTTGGAAACCCTTCCTAAGCTTGGCCGCGGACATTGTCTCCACGCATGCGAAGATCGTCAGCATGCAGTGAAAGAGCTCCATGAACTTGTCTGCCCCCGGAGAAGTTTAACGTGTGAGATCTTGTGTTTGATCGTCGCATACAGATTCCGAATTGATTCAGCTCCAGGATGTCTATGTTGGCCCTGGCCGAAGGAGTCCAGTTAACCTTGGCTGACTCTCGGTGAGTCTTGTATCTGCTGGGCATTCTCTAGGAGATGAGGAGCTTCATATTCGCTCGCCTGTGTGAATCGTTGGATTGCATACCAGCTTCCATTGACCTTGTCCGTCCGTTGTCAACATCGCGTAGGTCGGGTTGATCAGGGGCGTTATGAGGCTTGTAGCCAGAAAGAATCTCTGCATGCATGTGTCACAAGAGTCAACAATGAGCTGAAAGCATCATGATTAGCCATCATTGCCATACCAGCTCCAACTCTATGACAAATCCCACGCGTCATCTGCCCAATTGGCACATGAAGGCGGCGATGAAAGTTCAGCGGCCTGCTGCGTGCCTGATTCTGTATCGGCGGCAATTCTCGTGGACGGTTCTTCGTCTTTGTCCTGTCCGCTTTTTTCCCTTGTCCGACGCAAAACACGTTCCTTTGAAGTGCTCGAACGGCTGTTGCTACGTGTACTTCCCTGTCCTGCCACAGCCTGTTCCGCCTTTCTTACCCCAGTATGCCTGGTCGTGTTTCAAATTCTGCCCTGACGCCTTTCTCACTGACGTCGTCTCGCTCCAAAGAAGCCTTCGAGTTCTTCCTCTTCTACCCTGCCATCTTCTCCTTTTCTGAGGTTGGCGTCTTGGATTGATGTGAAGAGCTCATGACACATAGTCAACATTTCGTACAGGTCTCGTGCGGCATGTTCCTCAAAGTTATGCGGCTGAGTCCTCTCTCTCGCGCTGTTGGTTTTTGGATGATGAAGAAATGAGCTATCAGGTTGTCAATGGACGGAAATGCGCCGCGATGTCTTTGTGTCATGCTTTCGGTGGGTTCTCAGCATCGGGCGGCGCCGCCTGCAGCTGGCTGCATTGCTGCTCTTGCGCTGACTTCAAACGCTGCTTGGACAAACTGCAGCAATTGCGCCGTTCTCTCAAGCATCAAACCATTCCACGCTGCCTGGAGCCTCCGCGAATCTCATGCTTGGAAATGGAATCATGAGGACTTCATTGTTGGTTCCCTAGCACAGACTAGTGGACTGCTAGAATTCTAGACAGACATGAAAGGCCTTGAGCCACAATGTACAACTTTCAGTAGGAAGTTCCACAAACACGGCGTTGGGCGGATCGCAAAGTAGCTGCCACCCCCCCCCTTCCCCCATTCCCGGAACCAGCAACAGTACCTCAAATTGGTCCCCGGTCCCCTCTGCCTGGCTTCCGACAGGAATGTCAGCTTCCGGTCTACGAAGGTTTCTTCTCCCTCATCCTCGCTGACCGTGATGTCGTCCACGCTGTCGCTCTCAATATCCTCGCCAGCACCCCTTTTAAAGACGATTTTGGACATGTGAAGCACTCAATCTTTCCGCCGGACCCCTGTTGTTTCTTGCGCCAATCAAGGTTGGCCAAAGAACAAATGCTTTCATGACTAGCCTGCGAAAATCATGAAGACCATGTTCTCCCGAGAGGCCAATCACATCAATCCATGACGAACGAACTTGGCCACAACATGCACAAATTCGGCTGACCGAGCCCCGCCTTCACCTGTTGGTAGCCTCAGCGCCGGGGAAATTTCAGCCAGCGGGTCTCTTGCGTGTTGGCGTGGGGCCATGCCACAGCTGGAAATCAAAGTTTCTTGTGGAACGGTTGAGCGCTTCCCCAATCAGCTGTCTTTTTTCAACGGCATTCGCAAGCTGATTCCCCCCCAGGCGGCGAGCGGGGCCGCAACCAAACAGAGAAAGCCAAACGTCCAAAGGCCGGCGCGTTGCTTCACGCGCTACAGCAAGATCAACGTGCTTTGCGTTGCGGTTCGTCGCAGGCCGGCGCCAAACAACCAAGGCTTGGATATTGTTGTTAGTGCTGCTGCAGCTGACGGTAGCGCCGCTGCTGCCGCCGCTGCCACTGCTGCTGCTTCGTCGTTGTCGTTGTCGTGGTCGGTTGTGGTTCTTGTGATTGTTGCGGTTGTTGCGGGTGTTGCGGTTGTCGAGGTTGTTGCGGTTGTTGCGGTTTTGCGGTTGTCGCGGTCGTTGCGGCCGTTGCGCTTGCTGTGGCTGCTGCGGCTTGCCGTGGTTGTTGCGGTTGTTGCGATTGTTGGTTGTTGCGGTTGTTGCGGTTGTTGCGGGTGCTGCGCTTGCAGCAGTTGTAGTAAGCGCTTGAACACACCCGCTTCGGCCTTACCGCGCATTCAAGCGTCTGACTTTTCAAACATGGCTGGTTGGACCCGAAACAACTTGCACATAAGCATAAACATCTTGCGCTTTCACATGCTGGGTGGGGTGTTGGGCACCATGCGGTGAATTTCTCAGAAATGCGTACATATTGCATGTGAAACCCTATCAGTTCTCAACAGGAACATTCTGCATAAATGCACACTGTAAGTCACACACTTCTTCAAAAGGAAATTGCGCGCTACCCGTTGCGCGTGCGCCGCTTGATTCAGCTTTGGTCTTTGGATCTAGTCAGTAAAATGAGTGTTTAGAATGTTTGCCATTGCAAGTTTGCTCGACCTCGGCTACGTTCTTGTTCTAGTCTTTGGCTGCAAACGTTCGCAAGTCCCTTTGTCAAACAGGAATCTTTCACATCTGAAGTCATCAACGGCCTTCAAGCCCGCAGCCCCACCTTGGATCCCAAATTGGTGGTAAAGGAATAGGCGAGAATACAACCACGTAGACCAACCCCACCAGCCCGCCACCGCCCCTCCCCAGAATACTTGCACCAGTTGCACATCCATGTCCCACCCCTTGCTGCAATTGTCGCAGGTTTTGAAGAAATTCAACAATTGCAAAAAGATTTGCAGAATCCGTCACGTCTAATTCTTGTAGCGTAATTGTTGCAACTATCAAAAATAATTGCAATCATTGCGGGTGAAACTCAATTCCAATAGTTGCAGTAATTTTTGAGGCCCCAGGTTGGGTTGGAACTCAAGTCTCGTAGTTGCATTAGTTGCCATTGGCGGCCCCGGATGTTGCAACTTTGCATTTGTTGCAGTAGTTGCAGTAACTGCAATAATTGCAATAGTTGCAATCACTGCAATACTTCCATTGATTCATGAATTATTTCCAGGTTTGGCCCTCATGTTTTTGCGGGCTCGCAAATATATGTGTTCAATTCCAATAGTTCTAATTATTGCAACTACTGAAATACAATTCCAATAGTTGCAGTAGCTGCCAAACGTGTCGGGCCCCGGATTTTTGCAACTGTTGGAACTATTGGAACTGAATGCAACATTTGCAATAATTGCAGCATTTGGTGGTCCCGGATTTTTGCATACACTGCAGCCAATAACTGGAGTCCCAACTATTGCAGTTTGAATTCACCTCCCCTACAAACCCCTCTTCCCCCCCTTCCGTTTGGAGCGCATGTGACCAAAGATCCCCCAGCGTAGTACGCAAAGTGCACTTTGGCAACATCCAGGCCCCGCTGTCGTGTTGGTTACAGCATTTTGCTGGGGAAATCAGGCAAACCTTCACTGCCGCGAAACCAGTTGTTTATTTGAGATTGCTACTGAGATTGACATCCAGATAAAAAATATACAAGGGCTCCATGTCCTCGCGCAACTCCGGTTGCTTTCAGACTAAACTCTATCAAAATAACATTTGGAAAGCAATTCCTACCAAATTAATGTGTTGCCGTTTGACTTTTGATAACACCTACTGAAGTTTCAAGCTGAAAATCGACAAAAAATGTAGTTTACGCAAGCACGACCTGAGCCAAGCCCCGACTGGAATATGTTTCAATTAACATAGATCGCCTCTTTTACCAAAAGGCAGTCATCAAAGGTAGTTTAGAAGGAACTTCCGTAGTACAAAAACTAGTTGAAAGCTAGCTTGTGCAAGTAGATACAAACAGCAGATCAGATGACGCGTGCGAAAAGATAGCTCTTGGAGCGCGAATAGAAATCGCGAGAGAGTCACCCTCTGCGGGCTTTGGCGGGTCCGCGTTGGTGTCAATCACCTCTGTCTCGACGCCTGTCTGGCGCAAGCGCGGCGCTTTCTCAGCGCGGGTGTGGCAGGGGCACGGCGCCCGGCCCACTGCAATGGCAACGCGAAGGCTTCACAAGGTTTTCATTGCGTGACAGGCACAGCATTTTTGCAAGGTCGGGACAGATTTCGTGGCAGGCGCAGCACCGTCGGGTATAGATTTCGTGGCAGGCGCAGCACTTTCGCAAGGTCGAGCACAGATTACGTGGCAAGCGCAGCACTGTCGGGTATAAGATTTCATGGCAGGCGCAGCATTTTCGCAAGGTCGGGCACAGATTACGTGGCAGGCGTAAAACTTTCGCAAGGTCCAGTATAGAATTCGTGACAGGCGCAGCACTTTCGCGTTTGTTTTGTTGCTGTTGTTGTCGTCTTTTGGTTTTTTAGTTTGCAACACGCTACTTCTTGGTTGTCTAAAGTGCGGGGTGGGGCCCTCTCTCTCTCTCTCTCTCTCTTGTGGTGTTTTCGCTGTTGGTTCTGTGTTGCATGTTGGCTAACACTCCGTGGCCACTTTGCTTCGAACCCTAGGGTACCCTTTGGCCAAATGGTCATTCGCATTTCATGGAAAAGGGCAGCTTGCAGAGCGTGCCCGGCATCGACTACAGCCAAGTCGAGTTGTCTAAAGGGCGGGGTGGGGCCCTCTCTCTCTCTCACTTTCCCTTCCCTTTCTCCCGCAGTCTCTTCCTCACGACTCTATATCGGCCCAAGCGGCGCCGCATGTCCGCCCAGTGGCAAGCTCGCTCTTCGCACTCCACCGCTTGGAGCCGATGGCTAAATTGGCGTCGCGCAATCCTGTTGCCTCAATAACGCAACGCAAAAAAGCCACCAAAGGCATGAGTCACAGCCCGAACAGAGACCAAAAGCTTAAGCTGTGTCCTTGGGACGAAGTCTTGTCCTTGGCTGATCACTCGGGCTTATTGAGCACATCGGCCTTTTCGCTTCTTTGCGCAAGATACAACATTGGCGAAGTGTGTGTCATCTGCGGGCTTGCCAAGTCTGCCGCGTCTGCCAGGTTCCCGACTCCAGGAGTCTGAAGCACTGCGTCTGTCGCAAAGCGCCTAGAAAGACATTCGTCAAGTCCAGCTCCGTTGAAAACCCCTCTGTTTTCCTTATCCCCGCGGGGCGGCTTCGTTTGTTGACATCCTGCAGAAAACCACACTTAATAGCAGCACGACTTCACCGTGGTGCGCGCAGCAACTTAAAAGCTGCAAATATACCTGATTTGTAACTTGATCCAGTGATCCAGCGTCAAATTAGATGTCCTTCAAAACCGTTATCAGTTTCATACTCTGATCGTTTTGCAGGGGTTTCACTCTGTAGCGAAAGTCCAGCACGCGAAGTACGCACATCGCAGCTCCAGCTCGGACATCGCAACTTTGTAGCACAAGCCTAGTGTGCGAAGTACACTTCCGCAACTCCAGCTGGGAAATCGCAACTCTGCAGCACAGTAGGACGCAAAGTACACTTCCGCAGCCCCAGCTAGGAAATCGCAACTTTGTAGCGCAAGTCTAGTGCGCGAAGTACACTTCCGCAGCTCCAACCTCGCGAGTCGCAACTTTGTAGCACAAGTCTAGTACGCGAAGTGCACACTTCCGCAGCTTTAGCTGGGAAATCGCAACTTTGTCGTGCAAGACTAGCACTACACTTGGCAAGCTCCAGCTCGGAAATTGCATCAAGTCGCGCAGTACACTTCCGCAGCTCCAGATGTACACTTTCGCAGCTCCAGCTCGGAAATCGCAACTTTGTAGCGCAAGTCTAGTATGCGAAGTACACTTCCGCAGGTCTGGCTGGGAAATCGCAACTTTGTTGCCTCTGAGATGTCGTTTCACATGTCGTTTCAGATGCCGTTCCCACTTGTTTTGCTACTGGCAGGTTCCGCACTATCATGTTGATTCATTTCCCTGCGTGTGCCTTCGATCGGATCCTTGTTTCTGGTTCTGCTCCTTCTGGTTGGCCAAGCCGAGGCAAACATCTACCGGCTGTGAGCCGAGGCTCGACTAAGAAGACATTGGAGCATGAAGTGCTGGCAGATCGGACTTTCGCCCGGAGCCAGCTTAGGCTTAGGAAGTGCTTGTAGGGGGATGCCATTCCAAAAGGACCTCGCAAGGCTTCTACAACACGCTGCCGCCTGGCAACACTGCCTGGTCCAAAAAACCAACACCAAAATCCTGGGGGTCTTCACTTGCGCCAACGTCGGTCACGGCGCTCTGGCCAACGACGTCAAACAAATCGGGCGATTCCATGGAGTCAGCCCTGGGCCGGCGCTCTCTCCTTTCCTTCAGATCTGGGCCGGCTCCGCCGCCGCACCTAGCGCGCATGTTCTGTGATCAAAGCTCCTGCGACAACTCTCCTTAGGCACCCACTGGCACTGGCTGTCTAGCGCCGTCCATCAACGGAGTCTTTGGACCGTACCACACCCTCTGTGACGTTAGGCCTTCAAGGACTAACCTCCATCGGTGCGTCAAGGGACAAGACACCCGATTAGACTGCAAGGCCTCCCTGACAAATTCCTATCGCCCGAAAACAAGTGCTTCGACCGTGTCTCAATTCCTGGTGGAACGCACGAATTCAACACCAAACGCGAAAGGCACGGGAGCCGGATTTTCATTTGAACTGGATCTTTGGAAGTTCTTGGATGTGGTAAGTAACAGCACATGGCACTTTTCCGCTCATACCTGCAATGCTGCAAGAAAGAGGATCATGAAGCCTAAATGCGGAGGTTACACCATCTACTTTCTACTAACTGTCATGCAACTTCTGATTCTCAATCCGGATTTTGAAGGGCTTGGGGAATGAGCCTATCCCCATAAACAAAGCTACAAGGCATGGGTAGGGGTCATTCTATTTCTCGTTCCCCTATCAAACCAGCAAGCCCAACGTGTCCCGTCCCCAAACCTGGCCTTGAGGAGTAGCGGCCTGCGCAGGGCAGGGCGTCCATTCCGGCTGGCGGGATGGAGGGAAACCATTGGTAGTTCTCAGATGGATGACATGTTGTGGTAGAGTGATTGCCGCGTTTAGAAATCGCAGGCCCCCAATGGTTGGTGTCTTTCTCGCTGAACACTGCCAATAAAGTCCTCCAATTCAAGCGCCTGCACAACACAGGTGGGTTTCAGAATCCGGGCCTGGGGCAAAAGGTCCTGATAAGGATCTGCCATAACCAAAGGTGAGACTCGCTCGCGCCCAATTTGTGTGTTTTTGTTTGCCTCAGCACTCTGCTTGATAAGCTTCGCAGGAGCTACAAGGGTAGGAAGTTGGAAGTCCTTCTCCAAACTCGGCTGTGGCTCGAAAAACCGGTACCAAAAACCTGCGGTTTGCCCCGGCTTTCAATTTTGAGCCACGCCCAAACTTTGCTCAGCTCAACCAAAGGCAAAAGGCCTGGGCCCAAGCCCTCCCCAGGCGCCTCACCAGCGGTTGGTGCTGGATGCCCTCGATCTGGCCCTCGCCTGAAACACAGGCGAGAAGCGCCCACAAAAACGACAGCGGCCTGGACAAGCTTAAAAGCTCACAAGGGTCCATATGGCTGTGATTGTCAAAACCGTTTTGGTATCCCATTTTGGTTGGTAGGTGAATTCACCACCCGTGGGGATTGGGATGTTCACTGGGGGTACGATTTGGCTTTTGACCCACAGCCACATGTCGACGAATGAATCCACCCGGAGAAAACCAGAGCGGTGTTTCCCCAAAAGTGATCCGGATTTCCTCACAAATGGACGGAGCCCCCAAGCTCCAAACAGCAAACTAGGGCAACTGAAAATTGGGAGTCGATCAGTGTCTCCCAGAAAACGCCTGGGAAAAATGCCAGGTGGATGCCCCGCGGCCTCCAATCAACAGTATACCAAGAATGACTCACTGTGCTTTCGAACCAGCGTTAAGCCAAACTATTCGAACAGGGGACATGAGAAACTCCAAAGGCATACCAGGCAATAGCATACGGCTAAATTTGGCCCTAGCTGAACTTGGGAATGGGCTGGCTTGGTCAATGAAACCCGCCCTTGCCTTTGAAAACAGACGGCCACCGAAATCTCCTGAACCAACGCTCCGTCGACGAAGATCAACCGCCGTTTAGCATCCGAGTGCCACAATGGAGAGGGTTCTGCGCGGACCACAAGTGCATGTACAACGCGCGCATCCGACAAAGGAGCACCTCCGTTCGGATCCACTGTACACGACCCTGAGTCGGCGCGTTGTGCCCCTGCACACGGGCAAAGGCCATCAAATCTCAGAGGGACACTGGATTGAAGCCGGGGAGATGCCAATGAACGGCGCGCTGAATTAAAGGCCATCAACGGGTGCGGCATCCGGCGCTGCCCTTTCCAGAGACTCTGAAAAAAGAACTTTCATAATGAGCGTGAGGTGTCTAGCGCCTTAAGTTGAGGGATTCCCATGTTAACTTGTTGAGAAGATTATAGGTGTTTTCTAATATGCATGAATCGCTGGATTGTATAACCCACTGCCACAACCAACACGGAGGGCTTTCCGTGCGCAGCGCCGCGCAACGGTTTTTCGTCTCACTCCTCCTCCGCCTCGAGTTGGTTCAGCTGGAGGATTCGCTGCAGCCGCTGCATTTCTGGGTGCTGCTCCCACCTGCACGAGTTCCCAGTCGGCGCAACAGGCCCCTGCACAAAATCCGCTTAACGCTCCTGTTGGGAGGGATGAAACCCCAACACTGGGAGAAATCACCAAACCAATATTCATTGTTGGGCCATGATCTTCTCATGGTGTGCTTGCAGCAAACCTTGATTAGCTCTGTCCCTTGCTGATTGTCAAGTAGTTGTTTGCCAGTGTATACCCAATGTCTGGCAAAAAGTGGTATGCGTGGTGAGCCTGTTTCCGCCATATGTCCAGCGTATTATTCTGTGTATCATGCATTGGGAGCGTGGCACTGTCTATTTGCTGAATTAGTCTTGCATGTTGGGCATGGCTGCATCTCTAGCAAATATGCGTTCAAGACTATGACTATCACGCTTCTGGAATTCTGAGCAAAAGCCTCGCATATGGGTGTATGTGTGCAGCCTCTGCCCTGTCAAATGTCGGGACGTATCGTTCTAGGATAGACCTTGCATAGTTCTGGTATGTGTCGAGCATAAACTGTGTTGTGGGTACCCATTCAGGTTGTGCACACGCCGAGGGAAGCCAACCTTTCTTGAGGCTTGAAATATGTTCAACATACGCCGATGTCACTTCTGGGGATTGGTCAATCTCGAACTTCACCGGACAATTCACACACTGGGCGGGGACTCTAAGGGGTGGAGATCGTAAGGTCTCTTGAACAGGGCAACGAAGGTGCTTCAAGCAAATTCAACTGGATCCGTATGAAGGAGTTGTCTAGATGTAGGCCAACCGCGTTTGCGGATTTCTTCGAAAGAAAAACAAATACAATGCACCAACTCCGAAGTTGAGGCTTTTTGCAGCAGAAAATATCAAAGGGCATTCTGAGGAAAACCTGAAAGATCAGCTTGGTGTGCTTTGTATACTTTCTGGCCCGCTTCTTGGATGACCGCTGTGTAGAAAGTAGCTAGTATCCCTCGTTAGAAGGGCCCCTAAGCGGAATTCAACCCTCTTCTGACTCACTTACGGGACTTAGCAACTAAAAATAGTCACCACTTACATGGGCCGATCATCCAAGATGTTCAGGTAGAACAATTCCCCCCGTTCGCTGGGCCTGCTGTAGAAGGGCCCCGCAATGGTCGCCCCATTGCCAGAGTACAGCTGAAAGAGCTCTTGGCAGTCGAAGTATCTTGCGTGCGCCAGCGGCGTGTCACCCTCCGAGTCACCTGACGGCGAAAGCAAAAGGTCACCTGTCATTTTATTGGGTTCAATCTGGGCCTATGTCTGGTCAAAAGGTGAACACCAGGGTTTCAATCACCCCGAATTTGTCTTGGAAAACCATCCAAGAGATGGGCCTGCGGGACAGACGAGTTCCAAATGAACCTTAACAAAACAGACTCTATTGCCGCTTCCGCTGTGCCTCTACATGCGCCTAAGGCAAGTAGGTCAGCGGACATGTTCGGTGCGCGGAAAGGGCACAAAGGCTATAGGCGAGCAGCTCTTTGTGTGGGAGGAAAGGAGCCGATGATGGCTTCATGAAGCATGTCCATCAGTGGCGGCCAGTGGCCAGCCAACCAGAGGCCCATTACGTTGGGTTCCTACGTTGGATTTAAGGCCTATTGTGTACAAGGGCCCATTTGCGTTGGGTTGCTTGGATGTGTCCAGACATCGGCCGAAAGGAGCTCACTCCAATCAACCCTAGAAAGTGATGTCAAAAGCGCCAAAAGCATCGAACATGTAGACACCCTGTTAAACCCGAGGCATCTCAACGGTCCCTTGATCCCTTGCGAAAAGTTAACGTGTTAGTGAGATATAGCATCATCCCTCTAAACGCAAAAGCTAAACAGAAAGCAGCCTCATGATCCGGTACTGATTCAAGCCCATATCAAGAGGAACCATGGAGAGGGTTCTGGCCCAAAAAACAACAAAAAAGCTGGTCGCTCTTGGTCAATGGCGGCCCCCAACTCAGGTCTTCTGACGGCCGATTGGAACTCAGACCAACTCTCCAACTCTCCAACTCTTGGTATGGTAGAGGGTAAACTGTGTTTCTTCCAGCCCCCCGGGAAAAATGAACACTGCCAAAAAACATGTCAAGAGCAGTCCGGCGCAAGGAAGGGACCAATCAAAACCAGGCGCCGGCGTCCAGGTTGGCACCCCGATGGATCAGCAGCTGCGCCACTTCGTAGAAGCCTGGCCACCACAATCCGCAAACTGTGGATGGTCTTTAGAACCGTGGTGGAAATCCTTGGTCGTTGTTTGTATTTGCAGGGGAATCATCATTGGGTTTCTTAGGTGGGTGTGAAATGGATTTCGTCCATCCACAGTATGGGGGACTCGTTTTTTTGGATTTAGAATTCCATAATGACCAGGTGTCCTTTTGTTTCCCCTCTAAAACTACAAAAAAGACAGGTCCCTCAATCAAAGACACTCCCATATGGCCATAACTTCCCAGAGGGTCCAAAAGTGTCCAATAAAGAAGGTACACCTGTACTATGTTTCTAGCACGCACACACACAGAGAGAGAGAGAGGGAGAGAGAGAGAGAGAGAGAGAGAGAGACAGAGAGAGAGAGAGAGAGAGAGACAGAGAGAGAGAGAGAGACAGCGAGATTCCGTGCATTTCAACCCGTCTTGATTCTTGAGAATGCGGGAAACCCATCCCCCATGAAACAAAATGTATTGCTCAGCTTGTTCAGCTTGGGGGCTTGCATTTCTGGGGAGGTTGGACACTGTTGGACTTGGGAGCGAATTCCCCGTAATCATTGTCATATCTACAACAAGGGCTCAAACGTGTCCAGCCCCGCAGGAGATGCAGCCAAGCTTTATGTTCCATTTCTTGGTTGGTACACGGTTGGGGCCCACAAAACTCCTAAACTAACCGAAGGACAGTTGCAGGGGTTGGGGCCTCATCCAAGCACGCGATTTTGGACTCACAGGAGCACGCGACGATTCTGGTCTCACGGGAGCATGCGATCGCTCAAAGTACTGCGCCTGCTACGTAACCCAGCTCCACAACTGCGCTCTTGCAGGTCGCTTCACAAGCATTCGCGTCCTAATTTGGCGCGCGGGCGCAGTTTTTGAAGCGTCGGAGCACGCAGCCGTCAAAAACCGCACCTGCCACGGGGGTTGGGGGGGACTGGTAAGCACGCCCGCTCAGCACTGCATCCATGCGTGCCAAACGCTACGTACACCAGCTCATGTGCACCCGCTCAGCGCTGCATCCATGCATAATGCTCAGCACACCCGCTCATGTCACCCGCTTAGCACTGCATCCACGCGTGCCAAATGATAAGCACACTCACACCCGCTCAAGCTCAGCCACCCCGGAAACTTGCTTGAACCTTTCAGCTGCCTGCACCAGACCACCCGGAACCTCCAGAACCTTGCTTGATTCTTTCGCCTGGCCTGCGCCAGACCGCCCGGAACCTTGAATAATACCTGCGCCACACCCCAACCTCCGCAACCACCCTGCAGGAGATTGCATTTTGCTTGCACACGTGTGTGCGAGACTCACGCGGTTTGCCTGGGCGCGACCATTACATGCGCAGGCGAGGCCCACGAAGACTTGCCCAAAGTACCGCACTTGCCACAAAAAGAAGCAAAACACGCGGGCAAGACCAGCTCGCGAGGCCGTGACGTTTGTATGTGTATTCCCCTCTGAATGTGTACCATTGATCTTTCCAAAGAAGGAAACCGTGTTGGAGAATTTTGTTCTAACGACCCAGCCACGCACCCCGTACAAAGCAGCCATGGAGCCTTGGATGGAAACCAAAAATGGGACCTATAAATGGGCGGTCTGCCTTTTCGGCTGACAAAACGAGCGCACGCTGCAGGTTTTAGTCCTGGATGCCATTTGCCAGCGCAACCCGTTTTGGGGTTACAAAAAATGCCAAAACACCCAGCAAAACCAAACTATAGAAGACGGGTGACCCGAAAGCATTAGTAGCAGCGGCAACGTCTCCTAGCAAGTTCTCTGCGCAGGTTGCTCTGAGCATGTTCTTGGCGCGAGTTTCTCTGAACAAGGTCTCTGTGCAAGTTGCTCTGAGCAAGTTGTTGGCGCGAGATCCTCTGAGCAAGTTGTTGGCGCGAGATCCTCTGAGCAAGTGCTCCAAGCAAGTTCTCTGCGCGAGTTGCTCTGAGCAAGATGTTGGCGCGAGTTCCTCTGAGCAAGTTCTCCAAGCAAGTTCCTCTGAGCATGTTCTTGGCGCGGATTCCTCTGAGCAAGTTCTCCGAGCAAGTTCTCTGCGCAAGTTGTTTTGAGCAAGTTGTTGGCGCGAGTTCCTCTGAGCAAGTTCTTCAAGCAAGTTCTCTGTGCAAGTTGTTCTGAACAAGTTCCCTCATTTCGCGTCACACTTTCGCACGAACTTCGCACTTAACAGTGCGATTCTCCAGCCGGACCTGCGAAAGTTTACTTCGCGCATGCGCGAACTACTTTCGTACTCAAAAGTTGCGACTTTCCAGCCAGAGCTGCGAAAGCGTGCTTCGCCTACTACTTTCGTACTTAAAAGTCTCAATTTTCGAGCCGGGACCCGGGGGGGATCAAACCCGCGACCGCGCGATTGCGAAAGCAGGCGCACAAACCACGAGACAACTTCCAAAGGCCATTTCGCACAGGGCACACTTTGCCGTGCACGATCTCCGCAGGACTCGCCGAGACCTGCGGGGATCGTGCGCACAGATCAGAAACTGTAAAAGGTCCTCAGTTTTTTGACTGACCACGCGGTCAGCGCAGAGGGTCGCGCGCGCACCGCAGAAATCGTAAAAAAATCCGCAGTTTTTAACATCAACCACGCGGATCTCCGCCAGAGGGTCGTGCAGGCAGATCAAAAATCGGAAAAGTCCTCAGGCTTTTGACATCGATCACACCAATCTCCGCAGAGGGTCACAATCCCGAGCGATGACAGCAACCCCGCCCCTCCGCGCCTTCAGACGAAGATTCTTATTGCCGAGCTCTTTCTTTCTTTCTTTCTTTCTTTCTTTCTTTCTTTCTTTCTTTCTTTCTTTCTTGCGCATTAAGTATCTTCCTTGTGAACCTCAAACTTAACTTACACAGCTGCTGACGCCGAGCCTCTTGCTTTACGCACTTGGCTCTACGCACTTGGCTCTACATACTTGGCTCTGTGCAACTTGGCCCTGTGCAACTTGGCTCTGTGCAAGTTGGCTCTGTGCAACTTGGCTCTGTGCAACTTAGCTCTGTGGAACTCACTCTGTGTAATCACTCCGTGTAATGTAGTCCAAGGGCTCCGCACGGAAGAACCCTTCGCGATGCCATTTCTCAAAAACTCTAAAAACCCACACTCCACAAACAATGAACCCCCCAAACCGACCCCACCCAAAAAAAAAAAACACGCACACACGCACACACACACACCGAAAAAGGAAATCACCTGCGCCCATGTTGCCCCCCGGCGGATCCATAGCGCGGAGCCTGGGCGCCGGAAGTTGGCGGCGCAGGCGTGGAGCAGCGTGCCCTCCTCCGTGGCGCGGATGCCCTGGCCTCGCGGGGAGGGAGGGATTTTCGGTGGATGGGATGGTGGGTGGGCGGGATGGCTGGAGAATGTTGGGTTCTTTGGTGTTTGGGTTTTTGGGGCTGGGGGGGTTGGGGGGTTGGGTTGTTGGGTGGTTTAGTGGTTGGGTTTGTTGGGCGGGCTTCTTGGGTAGGTTTGTTGGGTGGGTTTTGTTTGGCGTTGGGCGCTTTGTGCTTTTCGTTGTTCTGGTCAGTCCTCCCTGGTTAAACTGGCTGTAAAGTGATGCCCTCAAACAAACTATCCTCATGGCAATTTAAAACAACCACCCCAAAAGCAAGTCTAGGAACCCTGAATGGCAAACACTTATCCATCCGGTTTCGCTGTCCCAAACCAGAGCAATGAAATGCGCCAACTTGCTCAAAAAAATCGTACAAACATAGTTCTATATGCACATGAAAGAAGGCTTCGTCATGGCACCCAGGTCGCAAGCCCCTGGCCGGTGAGGTCACTATAATTTGTTTGCCCACGACAACCTGGAAGTTGGGAAGGCGACACTGCATTCTTGTCTCCAGCACTATGCACAAGAAGTCGCACTGCCAATCTTGTAGCAGCAGTCGCCACACGCTCGGCTTCAAATGTATCTCCGCGCTTTGCTGCGGCCAAACAGCAGGGTTTGGAAGGTTTCAGGTCATGCGGTTCGGGTTTGGGTGACCTGGTGACATCATGACACGCTCGATGTCGTGGACGCATTTGTTGGCAGCAAGACGTGTTTCTTGATGTTCCGCTGCAAAGAGTAACGAGGCTTTCGAAACCATGTGTGAGTGTTTCTCAAGCCACACCTGGTTTGGGGTCTGCCAACCACTTTGCAACTAAGTGTTCGACACGCAGCCTCGCTTGAGCCCTGGCCGCTTGATCATACTCCATTTGCTTGCGTTTTGCTACCTGCCACTGTGTTTTTGTTTGTTCCAAGTCGACCCCAAATGTTATGGTCTTCGCCGACCTTCCCACCCCCACCCCCCACGCATCGTCAACGCAACGCGCCATGCGCTGTGTCGGGGCATCGGGTCGCCTCGTTGCAGCCGCGTCTCGGTGTCTGCGCCCTTTGCTAGGTGCCGGAAGATCTCCACGACGTCACAGGCCACGCAGGCAGCCACTGACGGACGGATTCGTCACAGGACATGGTCAGAGGAGATGTGCCAGGCTGATTGAAGGGAAGGACCACTTCTTTCAAGGGGAAATGCAAATTGATTCCTGAGAACGAGCAAGAAGATTGACACAGGTGGAAAGCGTGTGCATGTGTGGGTGTGTGCGCGCGCGTCTTGAACTTGCTGACTCTTCCCCCTTTAACCCTGACTAGTGACCCAAACGAGAAAGTCACTCGCATGTTTTTGGCACTGGGCTTGTTGGAGCTCACGCAATGGAGATGCTTCTTCCCATGCACGGGGACCACGGCATGGTTTGCCGTGGAGTTGATAAACAAAATTCACAACCAGGCTCCGTGGCACCTAAGTTTAATAAAACAATCATGCTTAAACATGCTTGAACAGGGCGGCTCAGCTAGAGGTGTGTGAAAAATACCATGGGGAAAGCTAGCTCGTGCAGCCAAGCGTTCATGTATATATATATATATATATATGCATGCCTGAAGAAGTTACTACCATACTAGTAAAATAGGTTGCTCGATGTCATCGCTACTTTCACGTGGTTTGTTCAAAGGGAATTCGCCTGTTCACTTGTTGTTGCGAAGCTAAGCAGATATATATATATATATATATATATATATATATATATTTATCAGTACCCGTGGAATGAAACGCAAAGAGATGTTTAGAGTCTGCATCAGGCAACTCCAACTGCAAGGCGGCACGGAGCCTTTTTCCTGGGAGCGAAACCTTTTATAGTCAGCCTGAAAAAAGCTCGAAAGTTGAGATGATTCAAGGGGTACCCGTACGTAGATGTCGCGGCTTCCAAACACGAGTTTGAAAATAATTCGATGCTATCAAACATTATTCAAGCCCGACATGACTCGCGCTGCTTGTGACAGTCTTTGTTTACGAAAGTGGTTCAGTCGACACGAAGTGGTCGACACCCCAGCATTACCAGTGTTTCATTACCACAGGAAATGTTGTCCGCTTACCAAAAAATCCATGTCGCAGAGCAAAGCGGTCGACACCCACAGCTCGCCAGTGCTTTGGTAAACAAAATGTGTTTTTTTCTCTTTTTTTTTCCGCTTACTAAAAGTAGATGTCGCAAAAGTCTGCAGACAAAATTGGTCGACACCCCCAGCAGCCCAGTGCTTTAGCCAGGAAAATGCTTCCAGAAGGCTTAAAGTTGCAAACCTACTGCAATTCAGCGTCCGCAGGTGTGAATTCAGTACCTGTGACGACACAACAGAAATATGTATGTACATGTATGATACATACATAGACATATGTTGTTCCCCTCTCTCCAATTGAAGTTGGAAAACAAATTTTGGGAGAAAGACCTACAAAGAAGCACAAGAATTGCGACCAGCTCCATGAATGAGTTAAGAAACATCATGTAAACTGGCAAACGCCTTCTTGTTCACCGTGTGGCTCTGTTTGATGATCCAAAAGCTGCTCTTCTGACCATTGCCTGGTTACCTCGGTCAAAAATACACCGAAATCCAAATGTTTCAGGAGGCCCCAGGCTTGATACGGCAACAATCTGCCATGGGGGAAACATGTTCCGCTTCCGCCAAAGGCACCCAGCGACTCGGACTTCGGCACCATATCCTCAGCAGGAGCCAGAAAACATGGGCATGTCTTCGCACGCGTCGGCGAATCGGCCAATCCAGCTGTGAGCATGATTGGCTTGTGGGATTAGAATCATGCGTTCAGGGAAGGATGCTTCTTTGGAGCTTGGAAGGGCCTTTCAGGGTGGTTGAAATGACGAGTCGGCAATCGATGAACGGGGCGGATTGTAGCAATACGACAAAAACAACACTTGCAAACTGTCCTTGGATTTATCCATTCCTCAACATGTTTTAAACTATTTGTTTGTTTGTTTTTTCCGAAGTTTGGCTCATCTTGTCTCGACGTGGGAAAGGCAGCTTCGACGACATTCCGACCACCTTCTTTGGGGATTTATGCTGTGCAAAGCAGCCTCAAGACTGATAACTGTCAGGTAGCAAGCAATCAGGATGCTAAATAGCATGTAATGGCTTGAACTGCTTCTGAAAGGAGACTGGTATGGATGGTCCGAACACCTTTTCCAGCCCATACCCCCTTTTCTGCATGGAAAAGAGGTGGTGCATCTCATGGTCAGCTGAAGCCCGAGTCCCCAGCCGCCTCGCAGGCCCCGAGTCTCCGCAGGTCCTGCGCCAACGTGCCCCGGCCTCGCCAGCGAGCGCTGAGGAACCCCTCGATACGGCGAAAACGAGGCTCGCCCCTCGGTTCGCACGAATGAGCAGCCCCCAACTCCTCCAAAAGGATACCTGGAGTAATTAAAAAAACATAAAACCTAGGGGTCGTCATCCCAAAATCGTGGGCGCAGTCTCTGCCAGCGCCCATTGTGTTGGGGAGAGTAGCTTTGGGCGAAGCCTTCCAAATGGGTCTGTTCACCTTTGGCTGTCATTGGAAATCGATCCAAAATCCGCGCCGTGCCAACTTTCCAATTTCAGGTATGCGTATGCCCAGCAACATATGTGGCCGACTAGCATGAAATGACAAGTTGACCAGGTGTGCCATTTAGCACAAAGCACGGCAAGCACTCGAATGGTCCAATGGCATCGAAAAAATCGCCGCTGGAGCTTCAAAGAGCTCTGGATATGCCCTGCAAGCTGCAAGTCCCCTTTTTGGGCTTGTTTTGCCGTAAAAATAGGGTGGGGTGTCCCCAAAAAGGCAATGGGGAAAGTGGGAATATGGTTTTTGGAAATGGGGAAAACCCTCTTTGCTGGTGGGGTGTCCCCATGTGAATCGGATTCAGATGGAGTGCAGCCCACCTAAGAGGCCCCCTCTTCTCACTTCGTTATCTGGAAAACTCAGACGAAGACAAAGCTGGTCGGCTTGCGCCCAAGAAAGACAAACCATCCAATGTGCCATCTCACTCAAGGCATACCTTGCGAGTTCTCGTCAACTAGAGGTCGCCGCTCCGATTTTTGATCCCAAGAGGCGGGCTCTTTGGGGATATCAGCCGCTGGGATAAATGTCCGCTTTGGGGAGGCCAAACAAAGGGAACCCTGCTATGTGAGTGTCACACGCGCTTGGACTCCGAAAATGGCCGCGATCTTCAGCTGCTTTCCCGCTAAACCAATCTGCAAAGGGCACTGAGCACCCCAACTGGGATTTGCCCTGCCCGCCTGTGGCCATGGCCATCATCAACGGCGTGATGCCCCCACACGGCGGCTGCTCAGCCTTCTCCTTTTCCTCCTCCTCCTCAACGTACACCCTAGCTTCACCGAATGATACATCACTTGCAACAGAATAAACAACAATTGTGCATGCATTTCTAACCTATCCGTCTTCCATTGATTCAAACACATCCCAAGCTGCTGTATTAGTTGGATATCAGTACATCCCATGCTTCATGTATGCGTGTACTGTTTGTATGTATATATCTATATATATGCCACAGCGTTGCCAGCGCCCCCCCCCTCCCCCCAATGGTCATGGGTCAGACAAGTACCCCCCCCCCCCTGTGGTTGTGGTCCTGTGGTTGTGGTTTAGGGTTGGTTTAGGGTTGGTTTAGAATTGGTTTAGGGTGTATTTAGGGTGTATTTAGGGTTGGTTTAGGTTTAGGGTTTATTGTTTAGGGATTGGTTTAGGGTTGGCTTAGGGTTGGTTTATGTTGATTTAGGGTTGGTTTAGGGTTGGTTTAGGTTTAGAGGTTTACGGTTTAAGATTTAGTTTAGGGTTTGGTTTAGGGTATATTTAGAGTTGGTTTAGGGTTAGTTTACGGTTGGTTTACGGTTGGTTGCAGGTTGGCTTGTCCTGGGGGTGGGGGTGCCGGGGTGCCGGGGGTCCGGGTGCGAGTTTAGGGGGTCGGGGTGGACCGTAGGTGCCATGGATCCGGGGGCTCGGGGTCTCGGACCATCTGTGGCGGGGGGGGGGCGGGGTAGCAACACGGAACACGGGACCATATGTATATATATATATATATGCATCATGAAGACTTGGATCAAATTCATGTGCAAAACAGCTTAATAAGTCTTAAACTACTCCAAGGGATCGGGTGTCTTTGGACCCCCAGCAAAAAGTGACCACTTGTTGTTGATTGGGAAACATGACGAACATCGAGAAGGCGTTGTTGGAAAATAGGCGACGCGTGATGCCCGGTCTGGCCTGCATATCATCGCTATCTCCGGCAAAGGACATCTCGCTAGCTCTGCCTCGCGAAAGCAGTTGGAGGTTTCGCTTTGGCTGGTGCCCTTGCAAAAAAAATGAACTTGACGTGGCCCTTGGCCGTTCTACAATCTCAAAACAGGGCTTGCCTACCTGAGGTCTGAGTGCTGCGGGACATCGTCGGGTTCGCGGGTGCCGGAAGTCCCCTTTGCACAAGTGAATTGCCTAGCAAGCAGACAACAGTGTGGTGTGTGGGACACATGTCAGACATGTCAGATTCATCATTGGGTTCCAGCAAGAACTGCAATCGCAGCTTTTCCAGGCTCTGCGGCTGCTGAACCACTGGGAGGTTCAAGCCCATACTTCAAGATACTTCAAGAACACAAGCGCTAAGCAAATGCTCGGGGTGTGTCAAGAATCGTACATGTCCCCTGTTGACGCCTCATTTTGGTAAACCCCAATGCCGTCATCTTGGAAAGGCGGGTGCTTTCATCTCCTTGGGTCGCTCATCGGTCTTTTCCCTCGAAGTTTGCTTGCAATCACGACTTGTCAAACGCAAACATATCCTGGAAAGGATCATGAGCAGTACAGACCTGGTTCAGGATCTTTGCATCAGCCCCAAAAAAGCTTGCTTCCCAAAGAACAATTGGGTACATGACCAAACCCAGAAACCCTTGGAGCCAAACCGCACATCTCCTACCATGGGCCCAAGATGATTTCAGGTGTGCCGTCAAAACTGATGCCAGTGGTGGCTGCTCGTGACATGTTGCTTACATATCCTCGGCCTGTTTCTGGACAATTGCCTGAGAATGCAAAATGCCAGTCTCTCGCCGTGTACGGCTGGAGTAGATGGGCCTACACAGAGTTGCTCTCCGGAACAGTAAAAGTGCATGGTGGAAATGCATGCAGGCCACTCGATTTGTCTTTCTCCGTACATGGAGCTTCTTTGGAATACAGATCCGGCTGGCGCAATCAATCACGGCTGGCTCAATCGATAAGGAACCAAGTTGAGCTTCGCACCAGCCCAGTTTCCAAAGCAACCAGGGATTCTTTTCAACCTTGTACGCAAACAACAACAACAAAAAAAGCAATGCTCTACTTGCTACGGCCAGCCTTCTTCCTCAGACTCCATGTCTGATGTGTCCTCCGCATTTTTCCCTTTTGTCTCCTCAGGGAACTTGGGCAATCGTCACACCACTCTGTCACAGCAGGACCCGCCCTCAATACGGTATGGTCAACATTCACGGTAGTTAGGTGGCCTATCCCACTACCATGGTTTCATCATAGTTTTATCCGCGTATGGGTTCCTCCAAACTAAGGATTCTGTCCATCGTTCGTTCAAGTCGCGACTTTCAGTTGCAGTCTGCCTCTGGGATTCAAAGATGAAATCTCTCAAGCCGCAAACCCCGATGCGTGCTCCTTTTTCGTCTTGTCTTTCTTCTCCTCCTCCTTTGGCACCTGACAGGGTCGAGCATGCCCACGCTGGTTCTGATTCGCAATTCATGGCTGCTATGTTGGGAGCTACATAAGCCACGCATGGTGCTACTTTCTTAGACAGAAGCTAACAAATTGGTCAAAACTCCTTCGGGGAACGGTCTTCGGAAACGAGTATGTTCATGATCGACCTCGCCAGTCACGAGACTGGCTGAAGCGTAAGACCCTAAACCTCAAGATCTCTTTGATGTTGCAAGGGGGCGCATACGATCACGAACAATCTGCACGGGGTTCCAAATGGGAAGGGCGTGACGAATGTGGCCAGGCAACAAACCATGCCATTAATGCCACGGAAAGGCAGAGCACATACGTGGGATCCAGGAGTTCGAGAGTGGCCGTGAATATGATCCGTCATAATCTTCTTGAAAACTCGATGGCCGCTTCCGCATTTGATGCACTGTGGGTCGATGCACCCGAACAAGCCATTCCCGGCACCATGATGGTGAGACTTGTTTCTTCGCCAAAGGAATGCGAAAATAGTCCACTTCGGTAACAGTGAACCCGATCCAGGGTGGTAGCCAACAGGAGTACCTTCAAAAGCGCAGCCCTGAAAGCGATGACGCTCGGCTGTCAGAGTGAGCTTTGAGAAGCCAAGGTCCATGCTGAATCGGCGCCGTCTCTAGGTTACCAAACGCGCCAGAGATAATCTGGGAGATCCAAATGTCATCAAGTTTGGAAGTGCTTTGATCTCTGTTGAAAGCAAAAAGTAGGCAGGGGGGCTCGCGGAGAGCAGCAACCTACTGTGGATGGACGAAATCCTGCACCACTTTGAAACCATGCGAAACCCATTGTTTGTTGGTAATTACAGGGGGGAATCAGCATTCCGGGCTTTCTTAGGTGGTGCAGGATTTCGTCGATCCACAGTATGACCCCAGAAATGCACATAGGCAGGATGTCGTTGTCCGGAACATCTGCATTAAAATCACTGGCGATGATGTCAGGTAAGTAATATCATTGCTTCTCATGGGTCCCAGCACAGGAATCCTGGCAGTTGCAGGGTTCATGACCAAACCAACGAACAACAAAACGGTATCCCCGTAAGCATCAGGACCCTGCAACCCAGTAATTGGCCTCCTCCTCTTCTGTTTCCCAGTGGTCCAGCGAGGCCTCAAGCGGAGGATGCGTGGGGGTTCTCTCAACCTGATTGGCTTCCTTACCGTGGCCATATACGGCCGTTTTGCAGTACCGAAGTCAGAAAATGCCGCGCTTGCAAAGAAAGTCACCCTTGGGATTTGCTCTACCCTTTCGGGGGTAGAAACCTGGCCCTGGACAAAGGAAACCAAAGAGAAACCCCCACCAGTCCTTGTGGTTTCATCATAGGCTCGCAGCAAACCTGTTGCATGGAGCAAAATGACTGACGACCGTTTTCATTCTCCAACGACCTCCAGGGGCCATGGAAAGGTGACGACTTTTTGTCGGCAGCTGACTTCGGGAAATTGGTACCACTGGAGGTCTCAAACAGTCTGGGCTGTTGCGCTGGCTTGCCTTCGATTTCTTGGACCATGGATCAACATGGCTGGAACCACACATTGCTGGATGTCTACACTTCCGTCCTGAATTGGGCACCCCGTTTGTTCCACCCTGACCTGTGTTCGCACCCTGTCCCGCGCGGTAAATAGAGCGGTGAAAAACGGTTGGGGGCGGATGCTCAAAAGCAAAGTCGCGGACCCTTTGAAGAAACAGCGAATTCAACAGCGCAGCCCTTTGGCATGGTAGACCTTCATGCATCACCGGGCCGCTTCCGAGCGGTCTCTCTCTGAGAGGACAGCGGAATATGGAGATATGTCCAACTCGGAATTCGGGGCCCAAGACAAATTAAAAAGGTAGTTGGGGAGGCGGGCGGGAAGTCGGAGATCAGGTTTGGATAGTTTTCAATCGCAACGGGAACTACGCCCACCCGATGTTGGGTTCTAGTCGTCGCATGTCATGGTGAAGCTGATTGGGCGAAATGCGCAAGGCGCATTTCTCTTGGCTCATTGGCTTCAAGGGGAACGAACACGGAAACCGCAATGGATGACGTCGCTTCCTTTTGCCAACAAGAGCAGCTCACCCAGAACTATTGGAGGTTGCCACTTCCTCTTTCAACTTCCGCACGGGGTCCCGTTTCCAGTTAGTTGCTTTGTAGTTCCAGTTGTTATCAGGTGACACGTTCGCATTTCTTGCTCCAGGTCTTCCCAGATGCCCAATGGACTTCATGGGAAGAAAAGAATCAGAAGCCATTATTTTTTGGTGGAGTTTCAAGGGAACTCGCAACCCTTCCCCAAAAGAAAAGACGGAAAAAGGGGGGGGGGGGGGGGGGCGGAATCCAACGGGCAACCGGGTCTTGCCTAAGCGGAGCCGCTTTCCCCGGAGCCGTGGCGCTGACACGTCCTTGACGTCCGCCAGCATGTCTACGGGCGCCCCTTCCTGCGCGAGCTGTGCGAGATGCCCCAAATCTGGGTCCGTTTTCAGATCCCCGGCTAAAAGTGACTAACTTTTAGTGGGTTAAAACGGAAATCCCCACTAAACACTACAAGGCTAAAAAGCAAAGGGGATGTCTGGGAACCGCCAAGAAATGAGCTGGTTCCTGTTGGTTGTCGGTTAAAACCACCTAAAACGGCAGTTGGGGATTGTTTTTGGTTGCAACGTGCCATTTATGTTCAACCTAGAGCTCACTTTCAAGGGTTGGGTTCCAAAATGTGAGAACGCCTCTTCAATTTAACGTGGAATGCGTGGCAACACCAGACATGAAGCGGAGTGATTCGGAATACATTTTGGAAGTCAACAGGAGGGTTTGGAAGACTACTGTCCCCTTGAAAAGGGGTCTCTCCACTAGGATTGGAGAAAAGGTAAACCACCAGACCCGATCTTTGAAGGGAAACCGGATGCCTTATCTTCAATTGTTTTCTGCATGGAAAGGGGTCGGGGCCCACCGCCTTCCGAGCTTGAATTGCTCAACCGGATTTATGCATACCCCGAAATCAGCTATGAATACAGGGGCCATCCAGAGTTCCCCATAAATTCTGTGACGGTCTGCAGGTGGGGGATGTTCATAGGGCTTGAGAGTCATGTTCTTTGTGCAGGCTACAAGGTGACGAAGAAATATCTAAATCCCACCTTCCGGGGATATCTGCAAAAGAAGGAAAGGGGGAGGGAAAGGAAATTGGAAAGGGGAAAGGGGAACGTGGGAATAGGGGAAGGCGGAACGGGGAAGGGGGGAAAGGGCGAAGGGGAAGCAGAAGGGGAAAGGAAATTGGAAAGGGGAAAGGGGAAAGAATAAGGGAAAAGAAAGAGAGGCAAAGGGCAAAACGGCCGCGTGCTCCAAACCGAGCTTTTAGACCTCAGCTTTTCGCCCGCCGGGCCTTCAGGAGCTCTCGCACTTGTCGGGTGTCTCCAGCCCCCGTGGCGCGAACCAACCTGGATGGGCCAAACATTTCTCCCCTTCGACCAAAATTGGGGGCATCTACCGGGTACACGGGTAGATTGTTTTCCCCAACAGCTGAAAGCTTAGCTTTGGGGTCTCAGCCCAGATAGGCTGGGGTGGTCCGGGGCCCTGAGGTAACGTTCCACGAGAGTTTCAGCAGGGTTTGAGCAGGGTTCCACCATCTGCGAGGGCTGGGGAGGTTCCACCAGGGTTGCACCGCCGGGTTCTGCGAGGGCTGCGGGTGGTTCCACCAGGCGAGGGCTGCGGGGTGGTCCGTGGTTGAGGTAAGGTTCCACGAGGGAGGTCAGGTTCCATGAGGGTTTCAGGGTCTGAAAAGCTTGCTCATGACTAAGCAGAGCCGAAATCAATGGTTTTCAGCACTTTCACTGTTTTGTCACTTGCTCACTTCCTCAGGCATAGCGTAAATGCTTGGCATTGCTGAGTATTACTTGGTGGGCTTTGCGTTCCTATTTCCACGAGGCTGCGAGGGCTATGGGGTAAGGTTCCAAAAACGCTCCACAAGGTTTCCACCAGGTTCTGCAAAAGCTATGGGGCAGCCCTGAGGAAAGGTTCCAACAAGGTTTCATGCCGAGTTTTACGAGGGTTCCACGAGGATGGTTTGCGAGGTTCACCGGGCCCAGGTCGGGGCCCGATTGCACCGTCGGGGCCCGACCGTCGACTGTGCCATCGCGCCCCGATCGGTACCAAGCTGGCCTCGCCTAGTTTTGCTAGATACAGTTGCACGGCCGCATCCCAAGGAAAACCGGCGTTGAGCTATAATATGGGTGGCTGGGGTTGCACCACGGGACCATCGGGCCCCGATCGGGCCCCGATTGCGCCGTCGGGCCCCGATCAGGCCCCGATTGCGCCGTCGGGCCCCGATCAGGGCGCGATTGCGCTGTCACTCTTAGATTTGCCTTATAAAGTTACAAGGCGGCATCCTCAGCAAAATCGGCGGTGAGGTGGGTCCCGGGGCGTTTCGCAAAGATTCTGGGAGGGTGTGGTGCTGTTGGGGATATGGCCTGAGCTTATTTTATTTTTTCCCTAGGGTTGGGTGCTATTTTTTGTACTAGGGCTGGTGATAGAGACGTGTTTTTTTTCTCTAGGGTTTTTTTCTAGGCCTGGTTTTCACTGGTATAGCTCCACCTTTTTGTACAGGCTCCACTTGTTCCAATATCAGTGTCACTTCCTGTCGACCGCAAGGAGCCCTATCTGCTGGTTGGCTTTTGGAGGGATGCTTTTCGGAGGGCAACGTGCTCGCTCTCCGATCACGCTCTTAGCCTACACTCAAATGTGTTGAAATTTAAGCGGCGGTCTTCTTAGAAGCTATGTGCTCCAGTTGGGGCCTCAAAATTGGAACCTCGCAAGTGGCCACTGTGTAAGCATGCGCGCCTGAGAGCTCATTAGCGCGCCGGCAAAAAGAAGGCTTTACGGCAAGAAAACAGGCAGGGAGGAAAGCAAGGAAGAAAAGAGCAACAGGCAGAAAGAAGCGTAGCAGCTGGCAGCATAGCAGCAGGTAGGGCTCAAAAAACACTATGGCAAAAGGGCCTGGAGGGTGACCAGTCATGAACCCACCTCGGCCTTGCGCCTCCACTTGCGAAACACTTGCGCGACATCTTACGAGTCAAAGCGGCAAAAAACGTGTATGTCTTTTGCAGCAACCAACAATTTTCAAAGGCACTGGTGCTGGCACTAATGCTTCTTCGAGCCACCAAACTGTTCGGGATGCAAATCCAAGTTGAGCGATTTTGACTTGCGCGTCCGCATGCTTGTTCAAACTTGACATGCTGAAATCCAAGCTGCGGGCCTGCTTTAACCGAAACCATGGGATCCCCGAATACATAGTAAGTATGCCCCGAGTTGTTTGTTTGACTCGCTTGTCAACCTAACCATCAAGAAAAGGGACATGTTTCTACCCTTTCAACAAACAAAAGGCCTCCCTCAGCTGAAGGCCAAAAATGGATGCACATATTCCTTCTGCTCATCTCACACATCGCAGCAGTTTGAGGCTCTGCAAAGTAAAAGGCAGCTCATTGAGGACTCCTGAACAAACAAAGAAACCTAGCCTTCGAAACGTCAGCAAGAAAGACAAAGGTAAAACATGCTTGAGCAGGTCTGCAATGCAATTGAAACGAGATCCTGTTCTGCTTGCAGCATGAAGCAGAGACGCCCTGGTGCGTGTGGCAAAACATGGCCCTTCGGGCCAGTTTCCTGTCGCAAATAGCAAGTCTTGGCCCTGTCTGCCTACTGACAATGAACGAATGATGCTTTCCAGAAGTGTTGCTGCTCTCGCTTTGTCCACTCCTTACTTGTTCAAGGAAGCACTCAACAAACCGAAAGCTCCCGGCAACTCACATCTATCTGTACGCCTGGAAACAAACAAACCAAGGAAACCTGGGGGCCAGAAACTAAAAATGCTTTGCCACAAACTAAGGAAACCTTCAGGCCGCAAACAATGAAACACAGACACAAAGACAAAAACAAGACCTTTGTGGGTCGAAACGCAGTTGGCATTGCTGCACCCCGCCTCAACAATCCCTCTGCTCGAAACGTAGCTCTCTCTTTTCTCCGGGTACTATGGGTACAGTGCGAGACAGCCAGCACCAAGAAGATCAGACGATTGGCCCACGGCTCTCCCAAAAGTAAACATGGAAGCCCCGAATGAAAAAGCCTTAAACTCCCAAAAATAAGGTTGAAACCCGGCAAAGACCAAACAAAAATCACCCAACCCCCCCCCAAAAAAAAAACAAAAGAAAGAAAAACGAACAAAAAAAAGGCAAGAAAAAAACACTGGGGGATTGCGAAGTCGGCCTTCGGAAGAGCTCGGCCCGCTCCGGGGGAGTGTAAGGCCTTCGGATCACCTCAAGCGACAGGTCACCAAAGATGTCGTCCAGGTGTGTCTTTGGGGAAGGCGGTTTCAACAGAAAACCAAAGGTTGAAAACCAAACCATTTGAGGGGCCTAAGAAAAGACATGCCCATGTCAATCGCTCGAATGATCGATCATTGGGCATTGGTCAGCTTTTTCTTAGTGAGCAATCACCTCATAAAGGGGTACAAATATCCACGCGGGCTTCATGTGCTTGCTGATGTTTACTTACTGCGCCTCGATAAAATCGACTTTGCGACCGGTAGAAAAGCCGGCAGCTGGCAAAGGTGAAGAAGCTTCGAACACCTTGTAAGGCAGAACATCCTCAAATAGGCTGCCAATTGTTTGACCAACCCAAAGGAAAAGGACGACATCAGACATGGCAAGCCATCCGCACGTCATTCAGCCCGCTTGCCAAGGCACCATCACTACAGCCTCTGGAGTCTGCTCTCCAAATACTTCCTTCAGCCTTGCCAGAGTGGTGTGGTTCGAAACCAGCTTCAGAGAAAGAAAAAAAAGATGAGGAGGAAAGAGAAAGAGAAAGAGATGAGGAGGAAAGAGAAAGAGAAAGAAATGAGGAGGAAAAAGAAAGAGAAAGAGATGAGGAGGAAAAAGAAAGAGAAAGAGATGAGGAGGGAAAACAAGGAGAAAGAGATGAGGAGGAAAAAGAAAAACTGACAAGGAGGAAAAAGAAAGAGAAATAAATGAGGAGGAGAAAGAAAGAGAAAGAGAAAGGGAAAGGAAAAGAGATAGAGAAATATAAAGAGAGGAAATAAGAAAGAAGAACGAAGAACTGAGAAAGAAGAATGAAGGAAAAAGAATTAGGAAAGAAGGAAGGGGAAAGCAGCAAGCAGGCACAAGGAAGAAGGAAGAAGGAAGAAGGAAGAAGAAGGAAGAATAAGGAACAGGAAGAAAGAAGAAAGAACAAAGACAACAGAAGGCAGACGAGAGAAAGCAGACAAAATAAAAAAGAAAATCGGAATACAAAGAAAGACAAAATAAAGAACACAAACCAGAGAAAGAGAATCAAAGACAAAGAGAAAAAGGAAAGAAATGATAAAGAGAAAGAGAAAGAGCAACTGGCTGCAGATTCAGCACGGAAACGAAAGGACAACTTTCGCCCTTTTGTTCTTAGCGACCTTCTGCCAATGGTGCGGAAGCCCAGATTTCCTTGTTGCACTCTCGTCTCCTTACCATTTTTTGACTAAAGTATGGAAGCACTGCAGTGCTGATTGCAAGTAACACTTGTCACGAGTTCATGTGGCGCTGTCATACTCCAGTTGAAGGCAGTGTTCCAACTTCGAACTGTGCAATGAAAAACTTGGTAGTTCGGCCAGTGCGCCGACATCACCAACACTTCTTGTCAACCCCCAGTTGCCAACCTTTGACAACCCCAGAAGCGCTCGAAACAATGACCCCAGAAAGGCGAATGGCAAGGGTTACCTGGTGTCTTTCCTGGCTCTTTCCTCGGTACGTGGCCGTGTCACGGTTCTGTCGAATTCTGGTGCACGTCACACACGTGGATGCGGATGTGCAAGTCGCTGGCCAGGCTGTTTTGCGCTTGCCGCTGTAGAAACCGTACCGCGGCTAGTGGCAACACTTTGTCGAGTTTCCTGTCAACTTGCCCAAGTTGTTCTCATCAATTCTCTTGCAGCGCCATGTGCTACAGTTGAAGCATCCCAAATTGCAGCATGGCGTTGGCAGCTTCTGCTTGTGCAGTCTCTTCACTTCGTTTTAGGTTTACATGGGGAGTTACTGTAACTATCACAAGACCAGGTAGTAGATCCACCTACTAAGGCAAATTGTCATCTGCAAGTGTTATGGCAACGCAGCCTGTCACTCCTTGTACTCCATCACTTGAGACCTTTAGATTCGTTTGACCAGACATGTGAAATGGGCGCATGTGACACATGATAATTGACAAGAGAGCGCAAAAGAGAGTGGGCCGCCAAAGCACCAAAATGACGGATGCCGAAAGAATAGGCCGCGTTCAGCACATTAAAGCAACGCGCGTTCAGCAAAAAGGAAAGCCATCCACTGCACACGATGCAGCTGGGCCACGACTCAGCGGGCTCCCTCAAGATGGTGTACCCAGTCATCAGGCTCTGCACGGCCACGGGCATGCCAAATTTGAAGCCTCGCACTCGGAACGCCCCTGATGCTGTTCCCGGAGTCTCTATGACCGCCGAAATGTGGGATGACCGGATGACCCCAAAAAGAATGGGAATTGTGTCATGCCTTGGGGGTCTGTTCGATCTTTGAAGTTTCGGGCAGGAATGCGGAATGCCATGTGCGCTTCAAGGGAAGGGCATGCATGAGTTCCCCGCTTCAGTTCCCCGCTTCTGTGAAGGCAGGCTGTCCAATCCGAGGCCGAAATGCATTTTAGTTGAGGGAAATGGGCCTTCCGCTTGAAAAAGATCCACATCTCAAAATCAGGCTGCAACAAAAGTCCGTAAGTTGGAGCCTTCACTCAAACGCCCAGCGGCGGATGAAAAGAGACACGTCCCTGATCGTGTCGTCCTCTTGAAAGTCTGCAGATTCGCAGCAGCCAGCCAGGGTCATCACAGTGACCTGCCAGAAACCGGACGAAACGTCCACTCCATTCCTACTCCGAAGATCTGTGGGTTGCTGCTGGCTCTTGTTGGCCACCAGTTTCCCTCCAGCACAAAGAGTCAATCATCTTCAAAAAATGGCCGCTTCCACGGCTTGAGCAATAAGAAAATCCAACAAGAGTGGATGGACTTGCGGAAAAAAAGAAGAAACAAAAAAAGGAGGAAAAAAAAGGAAACAAAAACTGCCCTGTGAAAATTAAAATATCAGCATCGAATACAGGAACGATGCATTATTGCAAGAGAATCTGGCCTTCTTTGCTGAGGTACCTTTTCTTGGTTGGTGTTAATGGAAACCGAAACGAAACCACCCTTGGGTGTTTCAGCTATCTTGAGACAAACCCAACTGTCAAACCCACTACACCCATCCGGCAACATTTCGCTACCAAATCCAGTCAGAGCCAGGCCCCGGCCTTCATGGTCGACCTTTCTTCTCCGCGCCCACTTGATGTTCGCGCTTGAGCTGAAGTGCGAGATATTTCGCAACAACTGGATTCAGTTCTCGGTAATGAGGAGATGTATCAAAAATCATCCCTAGGCTCATTCCCCAAATCTCTTTGATTCCCTAAGAATCAGCAAGATAAGAACCAACCCGTGATAGCGTCAGACCCTGTGCCTCTCGAACTGAGACCTTACGACACCTCCCAGATGGTTCTGCAAGGGATCACGACTGGAAACACCGCGGGAACCTAGAAAAGCTTCCTTTCTCACTGAACATCTCATGTTCTCGGCCAAGCACCGTCTCTCGAAAACACTCGGTCCTCACCCAAGCCTTTGGCCCGCCTGTGACTTTTCTCGTGACCTTCCCCCAGAGACCCAAAGCGGGTGGTTGAGTGCTAGGATCGCTCAGTCCTGGTTAATCATGCCAAATGCTATGCTTTGCGCATTCCCGTGTTGAAAGGCAACATAGCATGCACAATTGCGATGGGACCGTCATGAATAATTCCCAAGGGAGTAAGTGTCGCCTTCAGGGGTAGTCATTGCGAGGGATAAGCGATAAATAAGTCTACACTTCTACGCTTGCGTCCCCAATACTGCAACTGTCGCAACATGATGATGAGCAGCCCGAATCTTCTGCGTAGCGACAGGATAGAAGAGAACTCTTCCGTCCTTCTCCAAACTCAATGTTGGACGTGCAACAATGGGGCCTTCAGAACAAGACTCACTTTTTTCCTTTTCTCACTTCAACCTTGTCAGAGGGTCCTTGCTCAACAGCGTTCCATCTTGTTCGAAGATGTGTCGCGATGTTACACTTGCTTGGGCTGCAGGGGGTGTTCTGTTTCTGTTTTTTGAGTCAATGGCGACCCTCAAAACATCCCAAGAGGCTGGAGCCGGGAGCCGGGCCCAAGATGCCAGTGATCTCGCGGCCTGTCAGAAAAGGGCCAGCACAAAGCACTTACAACCAAGAGACCGTCCTCAAGAGAGCCCCAAAAAACCTGGACTTCCAAAAGTAAACATCGTTGAGTCAGGGAGTGATCTATACTATACATATATATAAAAGGCGGAATAGATATGAGCGGAGACAGCCCTCTCTGACTGCATCCAAACTTTATTGGCTATCGGACTGGGAAGGCATCTCAACCTGCTTGAAAGCTCCTAATCGGGACAGCAGGCGTTGACCTTCGAGGCCAGACTTTCGAACAAGGACACACCCTCCCGTGGGGCACGGAACTGGCTTTTCTGGAAGCCATCTAAAGTTCCTGAGGGACCACCGACCGCACCATCGTTACCCAGTGATTCCGTTTAGATATATAGTAGGTAAGCAAGGCAACCACCCTTTAACAAAACACAGGATCCATTGGTTTAAGCAAGCGAATCGGTGTTTTGATGGATCAAAAGGCGGTGAATCTTCGGTAGGGAGTCAACTGAGTTATAATCAGACCTGGTCTGAGAAGGCTCGTCCCAGGCCGCTTGGTGTTGACATGATGCGTCCGCAGAATTCGAGAGCAATTCCATCCCTGTGAAATCTGCTCTGGCCTGCCGGGCACAGGAAGGAGAAACTTGGCACTGGATTTCCCGGTTCGCCTGCCGGCAGCAATGGCGTGCTGGGTTTGAAGCGACGGGCTCTGCAAAACCAGCGACTTTACCAATCCCAAGACTCCGCCCACTTGTTCACATCTCAAACAAATATGTCTGTCACCTGTCATGCTGTTGGGGTTTGCACAAGGCATGGCTTCTGCGTCAGCCATCTTGCTGTTTCAAATATCATTCAATCTTCGCTCGAGCTTGCCACATTCGGCCAGCCGGGTTTGCAACTAACGACAAGAAAGAAGCCTGTTTAACCGCATGCCTGAACGCACGACATGCAGCTGAAATCGCGTGCTTGGGGTTGAGCAGCGACCTTCGCAATCCAGGGAACAAGAAATGGAAAAGGTTCAGGATACCAAGGGTGAGCTATGAGCTGGCTTCGAAGGTTGCTTCGTACTTCCGTACACCAATCAAAATACACAATGGCGTGACTTTTGGGAGAGTGGCCAGAGCTGGAAGTGCTTTTGGAGGTGCTGGTTTATGCGGTCAAACATACCAAATTATCTAAACAGCATCCAGCCTGCGTACAATACAAAAGGTCGCGTAGCCTGCCAAACAAAGTTGACCGCCGTCTCACCTATATTCCTTTTCAAGTGCTGTCGACGGCAATTCCCGCTACCGCCACACTTTCAGTGCAAGCACCTCTGATGCTCTTCCAGCTGTGCAACGTCTTAGGTGTCAACCGGCCTGAAACCGAGGAGAGCGCAACATCGCTCTCTCAATATCATCCCAGCCAGTTGCTCAGTAAGCGTCCATGCCCGTGGCGGGGTTCTGGAGTGGCGATCAACCCAATTCGTGGACCCGCAAAGCTTGTGGATGGCAAAAGGAATCCAAGAGAAAACCCAATTCTTCGGAGGCACAAACCACAAGGCTCCAATCTAACCACGCCAACGAATGGAGACCTTAATTAATCTCAACATGCAAGGACTTCCCAAATCTTCCGAAAGCTTCATGTTCACTGAAAATCTTCCCAAATCCTCATGTTGACTGAAACTCCTGAATCCCAACTCCCCAACTCCCCGACTCCCCGACTCCCCAACTCCCCCAATTCGCGAAACCCGCCTAGGACCACCACGCGCCCCGTGGAGGTGATCAGCATCACCCACTGGAGGTCTTCGCCACTTCTTCGGCCGCGGAGCAGGCGGAAGTGCTCCTCGGTGACATCGGGCAGCACTGGTTTTACCGAAGCTCCACACGGACGGTTTGGTGAGCTCTGGGCTGGCGGCGATAAGATTTACGTGGCCTTCCCAAGGCCACGACAACCACGGAGGCTTGTTGACTTTCTGCTTCCGTGCGCGGCCACCTGTCCGTCCGTGGTGGCCAGGGCCGCCGCCGTGGCCAGGGGCGCAATTGCCGGCGCCAGCGCGCTGCTGTCCAGCTTTGAGGCCAGCTCTGCGGTGACACGGTCGTCCAGGGACTGGATGGCCGCTGCGTTGTTGCCGGAGGCTGCCGTGTTCACCGCCAGGTCTGTCACTTGCGCGTAGGGCGTCAGAGCAAGGGCCAGCTGCCCTGCTGTGACGTGCGTGCCGTCAGTCACCTCTCCGTTGTCCAGGACCTCCGGGATATTGCCGGTGACAGGTCCTTCAAACATGTTTGCATATGTTTTCGCCGACGCCTTAGTCCAGTGGCTAAGGCGTCGGCCAAGGAGCTAAGCGCTTCTTACTCCGCACGGGGCTCGATTCCTGCCGCGAGCGCAGTTGAGCACCATTCAGTCCGAACTCCGGCCGGAAGTTTCCGCAAAGCGAGGCCCGCACCAGGCCCGCACCAGGCCCGCACCAGGCCCGCTTCTATGCCAGGCAGGTGGCGCGGCAGGGCGGCGCAGCCGGAGTGCCAAACCGCCACCGTATGACCGTATGATCCGTATGATCCGTATGACTCGGCGGGCTGGCGTGTCAGGTGGCGCGGCTGTGACGCTCGAAAACACAAGTGGCACTTGTGTTTTCGAAGTGCCTCGGAACTGGAAACAGGCACCAACCATTTTTTGGTTGCTGCCCGCGTGGAGTTCCGCGTGGAGTTCCGCCGCAGACTGCGCGAACTGCACAGCGACTGCAGCGACAGCTGCAGACTGCGCCGCGCGAAAGCGCGAACACAGAACATAGCACCTCTCTCTTTAAAGGGAGTTTCCCAAATGGATTCTATTCTACCTGAGAGGCTCCTGTCCAGGAAATGACCTCGTCCTGCGAAGGATTTGAAGTCTAAAACGCTGCGTGCAGGAGTGTGGCTGCAAAATAATGACCCCTAGATATGCGGTTTGGCAAAATGCCCAGCAGCTGCCTTTGTTTCTGCAAGGCGAGCCCCCTCAAAGGAAACCCTGGCTGGCTTTTTTTGTTGGCTTCTGGCTGGCTTGGCTTGGCTTCTGGTTGGCTTCTGGCTGGCTTTCTGGCTGGTTTTTGGTTGGCTTCTGGCTGGTTTTGGTTGGCTTCTGGCTGGCTTTCTGGCTGGTTTTGGTTGGCTTCTGGCTGGCTTTCTGGCTGGTTTTGGTTGGCTCCTGGCTGGCTTTCTGGCTGGTTTGGCTTGGCTTCTGGCTGGCTTTCTGGCTGGCTTTCTGGCTGGCTTTCTGGCTGGTTTGGCTTGGCTCCTGGCTGGCTTTCTGGCTGGTTTGGCTTGGCTTTCTTTTTTTCCCTGTTTTTTTAGCTCGCCTTGCAGAAACGCAGCTGCTGAGCATTTTGCAAGCATATCTAGGGGTCATTATTTTGCAGCCACACGCCTGCACGCAGCGGATTCGCAGAACGAGGTCCTCTCCTGGACGGACGAGTGCCAGGAGCCTCTCAGGTAGAATAGAATCCATTTGGGAAACCCCCTCTAAAGAGAGAGCGGGCGCAGTCGGGGCTCGACCCGATACGCCAGAAGAAAACGCCGCAAGGCTGAGCTGGCTCTCCGGGCTGGACTGGGAGTCCGACTCCAAGGAGGAGCTACCCGTGGACTACGACTTTCCCCCGCTAATGCACGGCCTCTTGGACTGGGCTCCCCCCGCGCGCATGATGGTTGGGAAGGGCCGGCCCGCACACGGCGGACATGGCGGAGCGCCTTGGCATCTCCCCCGTCCCTGCTGCTGCATTGCCCCGGCGGAAACAGCGTGTAGTCCCAGCTCCGGATGTCGCACAGGATCGTGGGCTCAAATTTCGACACGATGTCCAGGGAGACGACCTCCCACCCTGCCGCCTCGAAGGCTCGGCCAATCGACTTTGTGCCGCAAAACAGCTCCAGCAGTCTCGGCATGTTTAACAATCACCACCAGCACAACAAAGCACGCACAGGCGAGGGCGCGGCTCAAGCAGTTTCGCATGCTCGGACCAATCTTTTTTTAATCGGAGACAGAAAAGGATGACGAGCCAGGCTAGCATGTGGAAGTTGGGCGAGGTGCGCTCCAATGCTAAGGGTGGCAAATTCTTGTGCCTGGAGCCTCTGTTTTGGCAGAGCGAAGCTTCGCTGGAAAT